CCCTTCGAAGGGTGTTACTCGGAGTACGTATTTTATCCTCCGTCCTCCTTCTATTCCAATCCAAAGTCCTGTCCCCCTTGCCTCACGCAGGGCACTGCGAAAACACTCTGCCTCCTCAACTATGCACAGTCTGGTATAGAGTTGGAGTTCTATGATCACTAACACTAATGGTCCGTCCAGTCTCCCTACCACATGTAATGAGTACCGTTCTGTCGTGTGTAGTGCAGTCCCGCTCATGTCCCGTCGCTACTTCCCTGCGTTACTTTATCTTCCGTTATCTCGCTTTTTGCATATCGCTCACTAGTTTCTTCGCGTGATACTCTTCTAGCCTTTACCCTCTCCAGAAAGTCTGATCTCCACGCCTAGATAATCTCTCTTTCTTCCCTAAACAGATTGTCTAACTCTCTTGTCACGAGTTCAGCCCTTCGCAACTTGCCCTCGTCTTGACACGACCAGATCTCCCTTAACTTGTCCCCCAACTTCTTTACCTGGTTCAAGAGTGGTCCTTTAACGCGCTTTTTCACTCTTTCGACTGCCTCACTCTCCTCACCAGTTGCTCTTCTACACGCATCACCGTGGCCGTCCTCCCCGACATTCCCTAAGCTGCGACCTCTAGCCCCGCGTAATCGATCTCTGCCCGTCTCCTGCAGTACCTAATCAGATCGATAGGCCTCAGACAGTCCACCCAGCTCGTAACATCTATGATGTCGTCAAGCGTCTCTCTACTGGGCGGCCCCCACCTCACACAAATGGCGTAGTATACTTCCTTAAGGCGGGGCGCTAAGCCCTCCCAGAGCGTGTAAAGTGTGTGATCCACTGCTCTCCTCAAACGATCCACGCTCCCATAGGTCTGCCCTATCACGAAGGTAGGAACTCCGAATCGCCAATCCTTTCTCGGGTAGAGGGTCGGATGTGGTGGACCGTATACCAAGCAGCTCCTACTCGTCCTCCCTCCAGAGAGTCTCGCCGATTGCTGATTAACGATCACTCTGGCCAACAACTCGCTCCTCCACCAACTCCTGCTCGCCCCTGCGAGCGTTAGCCCTATCTCTAAATTGTGTGTTCTATCAGCTATTAGATGTCCAACCCCTTCTAGATCATGAGTTCTCTCGGGTCGTTCGTCTCGTAGTATCACTGTCCATAGGAAGAGCCCCTCAGCGAGCCACGTTCCCAAGTATCGTATCGGTACACGCCCTGCCTCTTCTAACGCCACAGGAAGTGGTATGTCGTATCCAACCGCCGTCTCTCTGGGTCCCACAAGCTTCCTCACACTATACGATTCGGACTCTCGTGAGAAAACATAAGTTAACCAGGCCGCTGAATCACTCCTCATTTCTTCTCCTACTCTCGGTCAGCATCACTCTATTCCCTCCGATACACCCCATCTCTCGACGTTGCTAACCCTTTTGACAACTCTCGCACTCAGGTCCAGTATGGGCGAATAGGTTCAGTAGCCAGGCTCACTCATCCGTCGCCCTGGTGCGCTCGTCTACCTCCTACGTCCGGACTGCTACCCCTATCCTGGGAAAATGGGCGTCCGTAACGTTAATCTCCTCCTCGTCAACCTCACTCTCTGGGTCGACCCAGTCTGGCTCCCACAGCTCCTCGTCGTCCTCTCGCTCCCAACCCTCGTCGTCAAACTCGTCCTCGACGCGGTATGGCGCCTGTCCTATGGCCTGGTAGTATTCCGTCAACTGATGGCCGTATATCAGAGGTCGCCCGACGTCCTCACTCCACCAGCTCCCCCAGTCGTCTGAGAAGAGCCGCCCGATGCAAATCACGTACTCGGGGC